GGAAGTTTCCATGGGCCCAGCCCCATCAGTTCATTCATAGTCATTCTCATTCTGCATCATCCTGAAGGGATAGAAAGGAGTGGTCTGCAGGGCCTTGCTCCCCACAGAACTCCAAACTACTGTCCACTGCATAGTCTTTGGTAAAATGTCTTTCTCGCTACAATTCTTTGCATGTTTCCCCTCAATTCCACATTAAACCCAAAGTATTCACCTATCCTTGGCCCCACTCTCACCTAAAGAATTGTGTATAAGCTTTTGCAAGGAAAGTTAGAGAAGGAACTTAACTGTAGGTGGCACCTGCTTTCACCCTGAGGCACAAAATCTCCTTAAACAATGAATGAGACGGTCTGGCTACCATTTTGAGGCTAAGAGGGAAAAATATAGACAATAGAAGGTTCAAAAACTACAAGTTGGTCAACTCCATCAAATGCTGCCGAATCAACAGCAAAAGAGACTGATCAATGACCACTTGACTAGCCTGGTGAGAGACCTGTGAGAGGAGAGGAGAGTCAGTCTACTGGCTCCAGAGCCATGTGGTGGAGTGAGAACAATCGGGAACACAGGGAAAGAGATTATTTCAGGAAAAGCATGATCAGAGCAGCTACAGGGTGACATGGAGTGAGAAGAAAGGCTAGATTGGGAGAGAAATGAAAGGGAGAGACACTAGAGTTACAGGGGTCAGAGCATCTGGGTCTCTCAGTCTTGGCCAGTGGGCACAGATCTGTGTAAGAAGGTCTGGAACAGGCACAGACCCATGTATATCCACAGAGGATCTCTCTTGTTTGACGACTCCATCTTGCTTTACGCAATGAAGTCATATCCTACACCTGAGAGGGGAAGCAAGAGTGGTAGCAGAGAGTAGAATTTAAGGATCGTGGGAACAGTTTGAAGAACACTGGGGAGGTGGAGTAGAAGGGCTGGCACATTCTGCTTCACTGATAATCTTGGGCTGAAAAATTTGGTGTTTTCAATCCTTTCTGTATTGCCCATACAGGTGCCCATTTTACAAGTATTTATTGGGGGCCTACTTTACGCTGAGATGGGTGCCAAGTGAAAAGGGAGTAAGAGAGTGGAGCAATGGACGCACAGAATAAGAAGAGGGACGATACCGGGCAAAGAAATCAAGAGTGGCCCCAGGAGGCCTAGCAGCACCCCACACAGTGTCTCTTGTCCTCAGATGGTGGCTCTAACCTTGCACATGAGTCCTTTATTTACTCACTCTTCTTGACAGTTGAGCTCTGTGTCTTTAGACAATTCTCCTTAGCTCAGTATAATCTAGGATGGGGCCTGGCCCAGGACTGGAGCATGGTCTAGGATCAGGGCATGATCTATGATGGAGGATTGGTTAGGAAGATATTTTACTTTTTAAATTCACTTCTTAACTCCAATTGCAAAAAATAGTAACATCTTAGGAAGATGATATTAAGGTATTGGAAACATGAAAGAAGTTACAGAAAGATGGCTGACCAGGAGTGGAATTTTTTGTAATTATACATAATGACTATGAGCTGTTTTCTGTGCTGAGGAAGGCCAGCTCAACCCATCTAACCTCACATTCTCAAATTCCCCACTCACCAGAAATGGCCTAGATATGTGACTTGAATAGGTCAAAGGGGAAAAAATAAGTCAAAACTCATTTGGTAAACTCTGGAAATTGTGTTTTAACCCAGTGGTTATGGTAAACATTAATGAAGCCACCTAAAGAACTGTAAGACTTCCTGTGACCACAACACAAGCACAGGGCTTACCAAGCAACCACAGAATGCAGAGTCCAGGTTTTAGACACAGTGAAATGGTAATCAGAAAGTGGATGCCACTTAAGTAAAATATAATGAACATCTATCAAGCAGCATGCTACTTTTAAAATTAGGACTTTGCTTAAACCTTTTTTTAAAATCTGAAGAAAACTCAAGACCATGGCTATGCAAATTTTTTCTTAAAGAACCAGACAGTAAATATTTTAGGCCTTGCAAACCTCATATAGTCTCTGTCCCATGATATTGTTTTCTGTGTGTCTTGTTTGTTTCCATTGTTTACAATAGTATATTATAGAAACCAATCTGAGCTCATAAGCACCATAAGCAGGAGAGCCTGGAGCTGTAGACATAGATATTCCTGGCTGTATTTAAAGTTTCACAAGGATGGGCATCTCGCCATTTTCTAATTGAAGCTCATTTGGTTGGACTCTTTTAAAATCGTTTGCCACTCGGAGTCAAATTTTCTTTTCTTGTAATTCCCATGTGTATCTATGCCTGATTGTACAGTTGGCATGCTCTTTCTTTTCTTGTAAGCTTGTAAGGAGGGGAAGTCTCCCCTCTTTATGGAAACCTTCTCATCAAAGTCATTCTAATTTGGCATGAAATTGTTTTCACATACTTTCCATTCAATGCCATCTTGTCTTCCTAAAGTGTGGTTTCCAGAATTTGCAGTTCCAAAACTTTGGTGCGACCACAGACCTAGTGTGCTACTTAATTTGAATAGAATGTTGCCAATAATACTACCTATGATAGCTAATTTAGGTGTGAACTTGAATGGATTAAGGATTACTTAGAAAACTGGTAACTGTTATAGGTATGTCTTTCCAAAGATGGTTGGGATGTTACTTGGTGGACTTAGTGGGGATGACCTGCCCCCAATGTGGGTAGGCACCATCCAATGACCTGAGGGCCCAAAAGGAAAAACAGGTTTTTCCTTCTCCTGGAGCTGGGATACATTATTCTGTCTGTACATTAGAACTCCAGGATCTCTGCCTTTGGATTCCAGGTCTTACACCAGCAGCACCCCCAGGTTCTTGCACCTTTAACCTCCAACCAAGAGTTAAACCATTGGCTTCCCTGGCTCTGAGGACTTCAGACTTGAATCCAGCCAGTTTTCAAATGGCCTGTCATGGGACACAATTCAGCCTCCATAATCATGTAGGCCAATTCTTCTAATACATTCCTTCATTGTCTGCCTGTCCATCTATCTATCTATCTATCCATCATCTATCCATCCATCCTATTGGTTAGGTCTGTTTGGAGAACCCTAGTTCATTCCTTATGCTTGAATTCTTTTTGTTTGTTTGTTTGAGCAGCTCCATCATCTGAGGTTTCAATTTCAAATTGCAAATGCTTATTTTAAATAGAAGTTCACATTTATGTATTGATAACAGCCTAAAGATTTCAGACAGGGCTCAAAAACCACTGCATGAATGAAAAGTAGTGAACTTTTTATATTTCTATAAAATGAGCATAAAGTCCCTTGTGGGTGAGAACCACTGGCATATGAAAAGTGTGAATGGCATGAGAGAGGCTGCCTGCCTTTCTTATGTTGAGTCCTAATACCCACCTCTTCCAAAGAAGGCTCCATAACCAAGATGATGAACTCTTCTCTGGGGCAGCTACTGAATTATTCACACTCGAGAAAATATGTTCAGGAAATGTACAATCCACAGTGCTCTCCATTCTGGAATCTCTCTCTGCTCTCAATAGAAGGCTAGTGATTGTGAGAACCAGACAAATTTGGGAGTGGGAGGATGAAGGAAGCTCTTATTAGAAAAATCCAATTATATTTAAGATTTTAACTTTGGTTTGGCACCATGAAAAACATTTGAATGTTGATTGGTGAAAAATCAGGCGTGTCCTTCTTTAAAATTCTCTCTTTCATGTACAAAAGCCCCCAAACTACATAAAGATTCCTACCTATTCTGTAAACTAAAACATGGATAAACACATGATCTGTCTGTCTAAGGAACCCTAGTACTTTCCCAGGCAGTCAGAATGCTTGCATTTTATTTGCTATCATTTACTATAGAAGAGAAATGGTGGAATTTGAAGAAAATGCTAGATATCACTGCCCCTTTACAAAGACCCTGCCAAGTTAGCTGTTTTCTTGGAAGTTTTACCTTCAGAACTTCCAGATACTCAGTGTTTCGCCTTGATGCAGTGCTGGCACTGAAAACAATCAACTCCAGTCTCCTGGGCTGTGCTCCACCCTTCAGTGGTTTACATGGGGTGCAGCCTGCAGGCCCAGTACTGCCTTTTCCTCCAGCTCACCTCCACCACCATGCCTCTGACACTGACACATGGTTGCAAGAAGACAAGCCCTTCACTCCACAAGGCTGACTGACAGACCTGGGTGAGCCAAGCACGTGAGAAGGGCAGCATGTTTAGGATCCGTGAGAATAAAGTGCCTAAGTAAATCCTCTCAGGCTGCAGTCAAAAGAGGCAAGATGCTCTACTTCCAGGGCTAGATACAGAGACAGGAATAAAAAGGAAAGGACTTGAAAAATCACTTGGGACCTAACATCTTAATGCATCTGGAAACACACTAGATATCCCCCATTAGAGGGAACAGAGTCATTTTCCTTGTGGGTATGGGAAGACTGTCTCCTTAGGAAGAAAGCACTTGTTCGGGGTCATGAGCAGCAGACTAGTTCACCAACAGTGTCTCAGTCTCCCACCATGGCCGGAGTCCAGCAGCGTCCACAGGGAGAATGTACACCTTTGTGTTAACATCGCATTGTGCAAAGCACTTAACCCCAGGACATTTCCAAAAGATGTTGATAGGCAGAACCTTTGTCCAAAAAGCCCCCACACATTTATTAAGTGAAAAAGTACAAATTTAGCAATTTTAATCAATATTCTTGTAGATAGTGTAGATATGTATATGCATATATACACACACATATATAAATCAAAATTGAGAATTTACAAATAAGATCTGATGCATAGTCTAGCAGAGAGCAAGTCCATAGAATAAATCCCAAGTAGGGTATGTTTCCTTTGGCAGTGCTTTTAGTAACTTAATTCTATTGCATACAAAGAAATTGAAGCTTAAAATCAGCTGATTTTGGAGTTGAAAATGAGAAAAACAGAAAGTGTGCAATGAAGCAAGCACACCACAATCTGGAGATCCCGGAGCGTCTGAATTTTGTGTCTAAAGAGTTTTGGAATCACACTGGACCAGCTGCTGATCCAGATGTCTCTGGGATGTGCTATTATAAGCAAAAAATGTGGAGAAGTAAAATTTCAGCAAAACTGAATCCTGTTTATAGTCCAGACTGAGAAGTGGGACTTACTCCCACACTGAAAATGATCAAAATGTCCAGTGTCCCTCCTGTGGCTTTGTGACACCTGGGGGCAGCAGGGCTTGGGACACCATCTTTCTCCTGATCATGGCCCCTTGTGCAAGTTAGTCAACAGTGTTGGGCAGGTGAACGTGCAGAAAGATGGTTCTGTGATCACCACTTTCCTGGGATGGAGACTCCACACTCATACCAGCCCACATAGTAGAAGGGGGTGCCGAAACCAATGTTGCCAAAGCTGACAGGCTCCTGGCGATACTGGCGATAGTAGCCTAGAAAGGTAATGAGAAAGAGGTGAGATGATGATTCAAAGTCACCCAAACCTATAGGAAAAATTCTCACCCTTAAAACCTCCCTTCAGACAGAGCACTCTGGTAAATTGTTCTTATGGTAAGTGTTACTTATGAATAAACAGAGCCATTCTGTATGTGTTTAAGGGATTATGCTAGCCTAAGGTTTATCCCAAGCATGGGTTGTAGGGATAATCAGTCTCTCTCTCTGTCTCTCTCTCCAAAAGAAGGTGGTTTTAGCCAATCAAACAGTGAGCATTCATGGTGGGGTAGCCCCTGATCGAGCTAAACAATTCAAACCTTGTCCTCACTGAGCTTAGGGCCTCCAATTTGCCAGAACCTCAAAACTCCAACACTTAACTCTCAGACTTTTAGATCTCTCAAGGAAATTTCTTTCAGGAAGCACCTGCAGCCTTTCTGTCCCATCACCCTTGAAGTAGAAGGGATCCTCCAACCTCCCCAAAATGTTCCAGGAAACTCCACAGTTGCTTTTACTCTTGACCCTATTTACTTTTGCTGAACAAATGGCTGCCTGCCATTCCACTAGTGAGTACGCTGATCAGTCAAGCCCTTGTGTTCAGAGCCAAGACCACGGCCACAGTCACAGAAGCACAGTGGGATATGGATGACACAGGCATGTAACAGTAACCCAGAGGTATGCAAGAGCCTAAAAAAATTAAAATTGTGATGTATTGCATATATTTGTTGTAATGGTCAACTGGGCAAGGCTAAATATTTGAACACTACTTGAGATTTCTTAACTTGATATTCTTTTCATTTATCATCCAAAGCATTCCCAACATTCATCTTCAAAAGACAAATCAAAGGCAAAGCTACAATGAATTTTCTCCTTCTATCAAGCTTCCTCTGCCACCCACAGCATAATATAGCAGGCATTTGTTTATATTACCTTGAATGGCAGGGAGTGCTTCTACATAGGACTGAGGCCCTGTTCTTCCATCAAGATGGGAATCCACAAACTGGCAGTGGTCTTCACCTCTTCCCCAGCTGTCTCCAATGCTATAGAAGGTATCTGCATACAGAAATACAACCCGTCACTGATCAGTCAAAGAATGTCACAGCTGGCTTAGAAGTTGGAACAAGCTTTGAGGATGATTAGAATTGGGCACATTACTTAAATTGTGTGTCCCCACTGTCCATGTGTGAAATGTGGTGATAACAGCATCAAGCACATCAAGTGTAGTGAGAGTTCAGCAAGATGGTCTATACTAAACACTTAACAAATGTTCACAGGAAACATGAATAACACAGGCAGCTCCAGCCTGTGAGTCATCGACCTTCTCATTCCTTAGTATTGGAAAAGGAACAGAGGAAATTATGATGGAGAATGTATCCTGAAATAATTATGAAAAGTAAGCAGGTGTATATAAATAGAAAACCTATTTTTACACATAAGGAGGGCACAAATCTGTGACAGATGACGCTGTCCATGGTCCTGAACCACCAATGCTCAGGACCGCAAAGGTATGTCTCCAGTCCTAGTTACCAGAGAGGGTTGTGCAACCTCTCCTAGCAATTCTGTAGTGGTGAGGGAAAAGGTGGAACAGAAAGGAAAGAGCAGAGAGAAAGAAACACCCAGTGGTGTGGGGGAGAGGCAGACACAGAAATTGTCAGAGGGGGGATAGGTGGGGAAGCTGTATTTTGACACTATCTTTGAATGTTTTCTGTTATCAAGAAAAAATAAACAATTTTTTTAAATAGCCAGTGGAAAATATGGACCAGTTGAAAGAAAATCTAATATATAATATGTATATATTATGTAATTTACATATATGCTAAAAAATTAAAAGGCTTGGGGGCATGGCACAAGTGCCATTCCTGAAGTGGATTTTAAACATGTATTTTTGAGTTCCAGGGTTAAAACTTGTAACACTGATGTAGAGCCCCCAAATCTGGTGAATGTTTGAGTCATAACAGGTCCAGTCTCAAATACACGCTGATGCACCTGCTGTGTCATCGATGCCAGGTAAAGTCAAGTTTCCCATGCCTGCTGTAGCCACCCAACCTCACAAACCTACCTTTCAGGTTGTCACTGAGGTAGATCTTATACCTCAGGGAATTGCAAAGAACGACTCCCACAAACTTTTTATACCATGTCCGCTTCACATATTGCCGGCCGTGGCAGTCTGTGTAGCCGGAATCATGCTTGAAGGCAAATGGGATCCAGATGGGCTCGCCACCTTGACAACACAAAATACACCCTCTGTGTTATGGTGGCTCACAGCGTTATTCTTCTCACACAAAGTACTGGGAAGCTGGAATGATTCACTGGGCCTTCCCCTCTTCACAGGGCTTCTCTAAGCAAAGTTTTCTCACCTCCCAAATGAGCACCCTCTTGGTCTTCCACTTGGGGAGTTTCTTTTACCTGAGCATAGTTATGGTGTTTGTACTTCAACAAGGGCTTCTCAGAACTAACAAAAGACTTAAGTCTCAAGGACAATCAGCTGTAATGGCAGATTTAACACTTTGGGGCTGCCAATCCTATGCCCCAAGTCCCTCAGCCTAGACCCTGACTACTCTTGTCACTCACAAGACCTGTCTTGGGCTAAAACAACAGGGCTGTCTCAGTTCATTTAAAAAGCAAGGTGAAGTTTCATTGTACATTTAATGTATTTTGCTATCTTTTCAGCAATTTAAAATATTCCCTATTTTATATTATCTATTTTACAGATATTTGCTACGCAATCATGGTATTTTATAGACATTATAGATCTTGACTACTATGACCCTACTGCCACACTTCCAGGCCATTCTTGTCCATAGATCAGGATGGAAGGTAGATGGAGGATGGAATAGAAGTTGTCAGAAAAATGAAAATGCAGAAATGGCTTGGCACTTTTACTTGGGAGTAACCACTGCAATCTTCCATTCTATCTTCAACTCAATAACCAGACATCAAGATCCTCAGAAAGAGACACTTACCTGGTGGCCTCACCACAAGCAGAGGATTGTCTGTAGAAGCAAAAATAAATAATTGACTTTGTATCATACTTCATAATAAGGAAATGTGAAAATATTTACTGTAATTGGAAGAGCTAACAAACTGGAATAAAGGAAAAATGAAGGTTTGCCTGTTAGATGCAGAAGTTCTTCCTTAGTTTTTATTTTCTAAGCATTTCCTTTTGAGAATCTCATACTCTTTTCTAGTCAACTGCCTTATTTACATAGAATCTATGGGTTCCTGAAAATAATAAATTTTGATATTGGGTGCTACAAAATAATTCAATACTCTTCTTTAAAATAAACTCTGCATTTGGAAAACAGTTGGCAATTACTTAAAAGGGCATGCATGTATCTTCTATATAATCCACTCTAAGGTATTTATCAACAGAAGTTAAAAAATAAATATGCATACAAATATTTGGACATAAATGCTTATAAAATCTTTGTAATAGCTAAATGGTAGAAATAACCCAAATCCTTAATAACAGATGATTGGATGAAATAAACAACTCGTGCTCAGTAGTAAAAGAGAATAATGGTTGATACACACAATGATACAGACAAATCTCAAAATGATTATGCTGAAGAGAGAAGCCAGTCAACAGAGTACATGCTGCATGCCATGTTAAAGTCCAGGAGATGCAAACTATAGTGACAGGAAGCAGAGGCATGCTCACCTGCTGACAGGTGAGAACACAGGTGAGTGGGGGTCAGGAAGGTACTCTGGGGCTGACAGACACACTCACTGTCTTGACAGTGGTGAGGGCTTCGTGGGTATAAATATTACTCACAATTTCCTGAGGTGTCACTCTAAGCCATTTGTATCTCACTATGGCTTTTTTGAAAACATGGCTGTGCCTTATCCCAAATAATACCACTTAAGAGAATATGAAACTTGCTTTCTAAGGAATAAGTTCATTTTATAAAATACTATGGGCTAGATAAACATGCACCATTCCTTTTATTTTTGGATTATCAGATAGTAAACTTCTCTCTTAGAGAATACATCCAATGAATTTTAACAACGTATAGACTCAGGGAACCCCTCCCCCCATGATCAGTATACAGAACATTCCATCACCCCAAGCCTGCCTTGTGCTATCCTTTGCAGAGACAGGTTGTTTTGGCATCACCTGCTATGCACAAAGCACTGACCAGTTTAAGAGGAAAGGGCTGTTCTACCCTCTGCTCTCAACTGCTTAAGTTTCAATAGTCTTCAGGAAAATTCTCAAATACTCTGGGGTGTGGTGGAAGGGAACGATATAAAACAACAGCACAACAGCAAAACAAAAATCCTGACCTCATGTGCAGTGCATCCCCTGTTACACACACACTATATCATACACTAAGTTTTAGATTATAATGTTTGGCAATGTCACGATTCACTTCCTTGATACTTTTCCTTCTGTACCCTAACCACTTTCAGCAGCACAGCACAAAATAAAGGACGCTAAACTGACTGGATAAAGTGAAGATAACCTGAGCAAATAATTGTCAATTTTCCCTGTGTGTGAGGGTTTTCTGGGAGTTTGCTGAAAGTGGGTTTCCTGGGTCACACTCAAGGGGTTCTTATTCCGAGGCTACAATGGGGCCTTCCATTGTCATCACCCACCACTTGGAGGCCATAAAGGACAGGTGGGAGCTCTACTGGGGGGAGAAGAGAACTGGCTTTGCAGAAGTTTACTTTTCAGTCCCAGAAATTGCATGTGTGGAATATCCTTTCTACTGTCAGGCAGATTTCACATATGAGTCTTTGGTTTTTTGTTTGTTTGTTTTTTAATTATTATTTGGTACTTGAGTTTGAACTCAGGGCCTCATGTTTGCTAGGCAGGCCTCCGCCCTGTAGTTATTTTTCAGATAGGATCTCGTGTTTTTGCCCAGGGCTGACCTCAGGCAGTGATCCTCCTAGCTACACCTCCTGCATAGCTGGGACAACAGGTGTGAACTATTTTATCTGTCCTTATTTTGGGTTTTTTTCTTACTTTTTTTATGTGTGTGTGGTGCTGGGAATTGAACCCCGGCCTTTCACATTTTAGCAAGCACTTTACCATTGAGCTACATCCCCAGACAGACCCATGTTTCTTGCTACCTTTGTATTAGAGTTATTTTTTAATTGAACTTGATCATGTTAATTCTGACAGTTGTCAAAGGTCCACTTTGTTTTTAAGAAACACAGCAGCAGGTACTTTAGTAATTAAGTTCTGATAATGGTTTCTTTCTTACTCTTCCCTAATTATTAATGGGAAACAAATTTCTTACATGCAAACACTTTTGAGGTCCTTTGAGCATAAAGTATATCCTCACAAAAGATTTTATTTTTTCTACATATTTTGATCCAGTAGATTTTAAGACATCATACTTAAGAAATGTCTTAATGACATATGGTTCAGGCTTTATGTAGAACCCAAGGTAACCAAATGGCAGCTGCACCATGTGGGTACAGAGCTGGCTCAGCTGGTCTGAACTCTCACTTGGCTTCCTATATGAAAAAGTCACTAACTTAAGAACTGTCATGGACTCTGGGGCCCCAGGGTCATATTACTGAAAAGTGCGAGGGCTGTGCCAACCAGCATCCTAAAACACAAGGACGTGATCTGAGTGATAGTGCTGAAAATAATGAACCCTATTTTCATTAAATGTTCCATATTAAGTCCAGACATCTCTGCCTCCTTGTAGAGGAGATATCAGCTTTTAGAGATCTGCCCAATTTGAATAAGCACCTGCCTTTCAGGCTGTCTCATAAGATGTTCTTCAGCTGTTTGGAATAAAAACTTTTTAACTTTGAGACTAAATTTTGTACACAGAGAGTCAAACTTATCTTTCTCAAAACTAGATTCCCCACCCCCTCCCTCCCACTTCACTGGAATTTAACTTCTGTGCTCCCCAGTGTGCTGGTGAAGACTACTCAGTTTTATTATCTGAATTTTAACTCAGTAGAAAGAAAATAATGTTTGTTTTATAAAGAGAAATCTGATGTGAACTCCTCAAATACAACAGAAAGGATTTTACTGCTTTACTTTTCACCCTATCATAGTCATTATTTTTGGTTATTTATTTAATTTTTTAAAATATAGAATAAAGAAGAATGAGAAGTCGCACATACCTGATTCTGTAACAAATGAGACCGAAGAGCTGATAGGTCCATAGCCATGAGGATTTTTGGCTTGGACTTTAAAGTAATATCTGAAATCACAAGAAAACATCTTTTGAAAGATAAATTTATTTACTTCTGTATAATGAGACAGATACCACAAGCTATCGAGCACCTATTCTGTAGTAGGTGCAGAGTCCTTTTTTTTTTTTTTTTGCACACATCACTAGATCTTCATATTGTTCTGAACCATCTCATTTTTAATAACATAGCATAGACACATGGACAATGGGAACAGAACAGGTACATGAGACAAACAGGTTGGTCAAAGAGAGTGTGTTCCCTGGAGCACAGGCAGTCACTACCCTGGGTGGTCTCCCTCAGTTCATCACAGGTGAGACTTACTCCTGGACTAGTTTAAAACACAGGTCTCAGCCTGAGCTCCACAGCCAAAGAGGGAGAAGTTGGCAACAAAACATACAGAGCAGAATTCAAAATTTTAACCGAATCCCACACTGGAGTCCATGTAGAAAAGCACGATCTTATATGAGATCAAATGTGGTTAGAGGACAGAGGACAGACCTGGCCAGGTGGTCCTGCGAACCACTGAGCTATGAGCTTCTGCCCCTCAAGGAAAAAGAAGCAATCCCTTAAAGGTAAAGTAGAAAAGACCCAAAGAGAGAGAGAGAGAGAGAGAGAGAGAGGTTTCACTGCAGGAATAAACTTTGTTTTGGAACAGAGGATGTGCTGGAAAGCACTATCTGAGTCAGGTGGTGCACCCAGAGGGAGGCTGAGTCTCAACACACCTTCCTTCTCACTTTTAGCAGTCAACAGTGGTGGCAAAGAAGTCCTGGAGACCAGCAGCACATCTATTTATAACAGATGTGGTCATCTATTTGTAATCTTTGTAACTCCCTTACCCCTGGATTCCAGATCTCTCCCTAGAGGCGTCACTTATAGGTGAAGACAGGTTAGAAAATTCCTGTGGGTGATGTGCCTCTGAGCTTTACAGTCTACATCTCAGGCTTTGGCCAGGAGAGTATCGCATTTGAATATTCTTATCTGGTTAAATCAGGCACCCAGATTAGATGTACTAATTAAAAGGCACTAACTGTTTAAAGGTGAATTATTTGTTCAGATGGTGAAGGGTTATATGCCTGTTGCACTGACTGCCCTGGCCTAAAGACTGGAGCCATGAGATAGCCAAGGTCATCCCTGGCTTACACAGACATTTTCCTGTGGGTCTGACTAAACTGTAAAGAAAAGCCATTTGGTAAAATCAGTCTTCTCAAGTCATTCAAATCTTGCTCAGGAGTATTCATTTTTTAATTTCAATTCTTCAAAAAAAGATACACACAACCAAGAATATCTGTGTCTTCAAGTCTCAGTAATGGGTGCTTCCCCAAGCATGCACTCTTTTACCCAGTGGTTGTGGGGTGATTTAAGACTAAATTGAAGGCAGTTCGAGCAGTGGGTTTGGCACACATCAATGAGCCTAGTCAAATTTTACAGATACTTATTGATCCTTAGCAAAAGGAAACTGACACACAAGGAACGGCGTTCACATTCAGGAGTTTCCTGGGGCATTTCTGCTGAAGAGTTCCTTCAGCCCTGATGCAACCATACCCTGCCCCAGGTCCACAGAGGAAGAGCCCTGCGCCACTGGAGGAATGGCCTTCAGGCTGAGGAACCTTCCAGATGGACTCGTTTTATCTGTTTTGTTTTACTACTGAAACCCAAGTGTTCTTCAAGCCCACTTCCCTGTTGACATAAGAGCTCACATACCAAATTTAAAGACTTACGTCCATGTGAGCGTCACCTACGATATCAAAATAAACTTAAATATGATGAGCTGAAAAGCAACATAAAATTTTGACAGGAAGTAAAATTCCTATTTTCAAAAACCACATTAAACCTTTTCTATCAACTAAAGTATGCATTTCATACTCTCAATAATAGTTTCTTTCACATCTAAGCAGACCCCAAAGTGACTGGGACCAGCTGAGTGAGTAAGGTGGATTACGCTCGCTGCAACCAAAAACAAGATGTCATCACAAACCGCCAGAGCTCATTATTAGGATCTGGTTCCTCATTAGTAGACTGATTCTTGTCTCTCCTGCTGACAAGGGTCACAAGGAGAGGCTGCCTCAGCAGGACACGTGCCCAGACCACCCAAGTGACTCCTCAGAGCGGCTTTGTGTTCAGGTAGCACAAGGAAGAATGAGTGTCCTCACATAGCCTGGGGACCGTGCTGGCTGTAACATGCAGCCACTGCTCTCGGGTTGGAAGGAAATTTGAGAAGGAAGAGCCATGCATGCTGTGTCCTAGCCTGCACGGACTGACCAACTCCAAGAGTAGCAGCCTGGCTTTCTAGGAGGAGGCAACCAACTCCAGACTGCAGTCTGTCCTCAATGGGCTGAGCCTAGACAGGTGGATCCCAACACTGTCTGACCAGTCCTCTCTCACCTTGGTCCCTCACCTCCTTTTAAGACTTTTTTTCCCTAGAACATTCTGTGCTTTAGGGCATCTTCTACCTGGAGCAATTAGTTTGCCCACCCACCTTTACTTCAGCTTAACTGCTCCTTGAGTTTTCGACCTAACTTCCCCAGGAAACCTACCTGACTGCCTCCTCTACCCGCCAAGCTCAGGTAAAAACTAAAGCAAAAACCAAAGCTCCATTATGTATTCTCCCCATGTTGCATACTCCCTCATGAATGGCCAGGGGGAATTTTCATGTTTATGTTGTTTGCTTTTTTATAACCTTTCTCCCCTACCAGACTACGAGCTCTGCAACGGCTGTGAGTATTTCACCCCCACATCCTATGTTGTTAAGTGATGCTCAGGAAGAACTTACTGAATGAACCATGAAACAATGTTTTTTGAAAGAAGAATAAACCATCACCAGATAGAAACACTGGCTGACATTCAAGAGTCAACTTCAATATGGTCCCAAAGTTGTGGAAGGAATATTGAACTGTGGGGGGGTAGGGGTGGGGGTGCATTCAGGCAACTGGGATTCAAACTCTGTCACAAGTGGCTATGTGCAAACATCTGGCAGGCATCTTTCAGCCTTTTCATACTCTGCACACAGTAAAAAAGGATGCTGACCCCATTTCTCTAATTTTTTTTTTTTTGGTTTTGTTTTCTCTAGTCAACTTTTCATTACTATCAGGGAAAAATAAAAGTGCTTTCTCAGTTTTCTGGGAATTACTTGTTATTCATTTACCAAATCTGAAATTCATAATGGTTTATGAAAGCTCTGTTCCAATGAGCCCAAGTGATACATTAAAATGTCCCAAAGAAAGTTCTCAGCTCGTTGGGTATCTCTCGGTGCCTGGGGCCATGGCCAGATTCTGTTCTCCATAGTACATACATGGCTATTTAATGAGATGATTTTGTTCCAGCCTTCCCCATGCTCCTCTGCCTGTGTAGAGCAAGCTGAACTTCAGGCCCACTCTCACGCCACTTTGAGCTCTTTGCTAAGCCAGCCCGCTGGGTCCACACAACTCTGCTAGTCTGCAGCCATCTGTACAGGCCTGTGGGACTCCATCTGTATTAGGAACCTGAAGACCTATTGGTAGCTTGAAATTGACTATGGTTGAGTATGTACACAACAAAAATCTGGAAAACACTGTAACCCAGGAATTTTTTCACCATGAGAGCCAGTTTACCAGCACATTGCTGCCTGACCAACCCATGCATGTTCTCCCACCACAGAAGCTTTCTCATAGTCACTACCTCCAAAAAAGCAGCATGGAAGAAGAATGAACAGTCATTCTGTTTGTGCCCCTGGGAATCAGTTTTGCCTATGTCTCACTAAGTGCTATAAACTCTGGCTTCCAGAATGGTCCACCGACCATCCAGCCACTGCTCAGCTTATGAAGACATGCTGTAACTCTTATAGAATGTTCTGAACTTCTACATCATAGAGTTTGAGTATGAGCTAATTAAAATGTTTAGTAATTACTGCTTCACTAATGTCATATATGAAAGTCTAATGCCACCACACCGGTAACTAAAACTGAATCAGGTCCCTTTTAATATACAGAACTACTTTTCTTTCCTTAGTGTTAGGTAGAGTTGAGAAACCAAGGAGTGAAATATAAACACAATAACCTAACAACTATACTGCACATACCAATTTATCCTAAGCAAAAGACATACACATGGTAAGCATTCATTGACGTTCCATGAGAACTAAGCAGAGAATTCAAGAAATCAGAAAAACATCTTAATTAACTTTTTGCTTTCAACCAAAGGGTATCTGTAACCATGCACACAGGTCTCATTTTTTTGTTTCAAAATGACTGATGCATCATACCTTGTGTTTGGCTTCAGGTTCTCAATGGGCAAATGGGTTACTGATGAAGCTTGAGTGGACCACTTATTCCTGATGAAGTCTTCATAAGATGCACTGTAGACCAAGTACCCTAAAATGAGAATAGGGAAGAACCCAACGAGCATCAAGGACCTAATCACACGGAAGTGTGACAGGGAGGGGCAGCTCATACATACAGCTCTGTGGGAAAACTTCAAGGAGAGCGAGCTGCGTTGTAGGTCAGCATGGAATGTAACTTTAGTACCTTCTGGTGAATTCAGATGGGGACAGAAGAATTAAGATGCTCCCTGATGCCTTGCTGAACCCCTATTTCTCTTTTTCTCTGTATCCCCTCCCATTCCCTAGCCTTCTTCAGCTCATCAGAACTAATCACATCTAATCTCAACTACACAGAGAAAAAAAGACACAGAAGAAAAAAAGCAGTAGTCTTCATGCAAGTATTTAAGGCCCCCTGGTAGAGATCTATTCAACTATCCTTCACAGAAATGAGGAATGTTGGCAGTGGATGACGGTCATGTGTGTGTAGCTGAAAGACCCAGATGTACAGTGACCCTCACTCATTCTGATTTTCAGTTGTAGGATATCTATGCCTGCCCTTGACTTGGCTGTTTAACAATAGCAGTCGGCAGTTCTTCCATCATCCAACCTGCTACCAACAGACCTCAGCAAGTGGGCACTCAGCCCTACACCAGCCCAGCCTTCCAGGATTCAAAGAGGAGTTCATATCAAAGCTCAGTGCATGTTTACATTAGGTCTTTTGTGTGTGCCAAAGGGAGAATACATTTTTTTCAAGCACCTCCAATGTGCTTATACTAAACGCTTTCAATTAAGTTTTATTTGGTTAGTTCTCACAATCCCTATAATTTTTGCTAACCCTGTTTTGACACATGAAGAAACTAGGTCTTAAAAATAGGCTAAATTTCTTGAGTAAGTTCGTATTCACTGATTATCATGCAACTCCTATTTTTAAAACATGATGCTAAGTGCTGGAGATAAAATGGTGATCAAGAAGTCAAGGAGCAGTGGGAAACCCAGACAAACAGGATTATACAACTGTGGCAGGTGCTCAGAGGACTCCATGGTGCCTCCAGAGAGAACGTAGACCTACATGGAGCTCACCTACCTGGAGGATATGAACAGAGCACAAAGTCAAGGAGGAAATGCACCTGACAAGGACTTTATTTGACAACCTGTGTCACTGATCAGCATCAAACTGCTAACAACTGGGTAAGCCAGGACTCAAAGACAGGTGCACTGGGCTCTGATGCTCTTCCTGGAGGAGAGTTTTGTTGGTTGTTCTTCCTCAACAAATATTTTGTTGGAAACTCTGAAGTGTTCCTGCTATGGTTTGGATAAGGGCTCACCAAAAGTGCACATGTTAAAGCTTGGTCCCCAGGGTGACACTTTTGGGAGCTGATGGAATCTTTGGGAAGTTGACACTAATGGAAGGTTCCTCTCTCTTTTGCTCCCTGACCATTAGATGAATAGTTTAGCTTTTCCACACATACCCCACCATTACCATCTGGAACCCCCATCAGAGATTCAAAGCAATGAGTCCACCCAGTCTTGGACTTGAAAGTCCAAAACCATGAGCCAAAGTATATGTTTTCGATTTATAAGTCAATTATCTCAGGTATTTCATTATAGTGACAGAAAACTGACTAACAAAATTGCCGCCCGCTTCTTGAAATTCTTCCTCCTCTGATGACAGTGATGTCAAGACTTATATGCTTGCAGTGGTGCTACATATAACAATAGCCCACCCAGTGATGATGGATCAAGGCTCACATATGTGCCATAGAAACTTGGCTTTGATAGGAGATTGAAGAGCTGGTACTGTGACTTCTAGTTTCCATCAAAACCATGTATTTCCCATGTAGATTTTTGGTTTCTCTGCTGATCTTTGGGTCTAGGATTTGAGGCTTTGAGGTTTTGCTAATGTGCTTGCCAAGCCCAGTGAAACTCCTGATTTCTTTGTTGTTCTTACCAAAACCAGTTCAAAAGACTGGTGAGCTTGTCCTGAAAAAGTGAGGTCATCCTGTTGATGACTTCCCATGAAATGGCTACTAGTGAAGCGACCCTGCCATTCATTTCAAATGATTTGGGAAAGCAACCTGTTGCAGACACATTTGCTCTTAGGGAGTTTCATGTTGTTTGGCCGCCACCTTGTTACACAGTGACTTGGGTGCTTGCGAAAGAAAGAATGGCAAGTAAAAATCAGCATTGTACTCCAATCCCACCAGAGTCCAAATGCCTTTCAGTGGGTCCCCATAATATGATCTTCTGCTTGTTTTGGGTATAGATCTGAGCATCCACTTGGCTTCCACTCTCCAGCACACTCAGGGAACACCTCTTAGAACTACAATAGACTCCAGATATTATCTACTACCCCCACCCCAGACCTGGCCAATTCCTATAATAAAGGACCTGGAAAGAAGACTCTCCAATTCTTTGCCATTTTTATTTTTTACTTTTTACTATATTTTTATAATTTCTTTTACTTTTCTTTTAAATACTTTCAGGTGGTACTGGGGTTTGAAATCAGGACCTTATACTTGGTAAGCAGGTGAGCTTCCTCTTAAACCACGCTCCCAGTCCTTTAGTTATTTTTCAAACAGGGTCTCACATTTATTCCCTGGGCTTGCCTGAACTGTGAGCCTCCTATCTACACTTGCCATGTAGCTAGGATGGCAGGTACATGCCATTATGCCCAGTTTTTATTGGTTAAGATGGAGTTCTGTGAATATTTTTGTCTAGACTGGCCTTGAATCATGATCCTCCTGATCTCCATCTCCTGAGAAGCTAGCATTACAGACATGAGCCACTGTGCCCAGTCCCTTATTTTACATTTTCTATCTCTTTTTATTCCTTTATCTAATTGTATTTGTGTATCTTTTAAATTTTGTAATCAAATATTCTCATCTCTTACTCTTTTTTCGTCCTTTTCCTCTCATTCTTTTCCTTTTTTCTTTCTTTTTTTAAACCTGGCTTCTTCTTTCTTTTTCTATTTCCCTGCTCTTTCTTTATCTCATTCTTTTACTATTATTACTTTAACCTTTTATTAATTTTTAATGTCATAGTTTATTCTACATTATTTTTACCATTGTCTTTTCTATGATTATTGGTGGTGCTTCTCTTTTGTTGATTTTTATTGTATTTCTATGTCTGGTTTGTTTTGTGCTATTGCTGTTACTATAGTTTGCTTTCTCCCCTCTGAGTGGTACTGGGGATTGAGCCCTCAAGATGGGGCTCAAGGAGATCCCCACATAAAACTGGAAGAGATATCTCAAAAGATGCACAAATCACAACATAGAACCAGAAGAAATGTGAGAAAGCAGGGCAACATGACTCCTTCAAAAGTTCATAACTCTTCAATAGTTGAATCCAAAGACACTGAAATTGTTGAAATGACAAATAATTTAAAAGCTTAGTTTCAAAAAATAATCAATGACCTCAAAGAGGATTCAAATTAACAGATGAATGAAGTAAAGACATCAATTCAAGATCTGGATGAGAAATTCAACAAAGAAATAGAGGTTCTGGGAAAAACAGAAATCATGAAAGTGAAAAATGCAATAAATCAAGTTAAAAAAAAAACAATGAGAAGTGTCACCAAAAGATTAGACCTGGTGAAAGAAAGGATATCAGATACCGAAGACAAGTTGAAGAATTACTACATTCAGACAGCAATAAAGAAATAAGCAATCATGACCACAACATCTAAAACTGCTGAGACACAATTAAGAGCTAAAACTCATGGTTTTGTCTATGTGGTGTAGAAGAGGAAACAGAAATAGAAACTAAAAGCATAGCACACTTATTCAATGAAATTATACCAGAAAATGTCCCAAATCCAGGAGAAAAGGTGAATACTCAAGTACAAGAGGCATTTAGAACTCCAATAGATGTGACACAAAAGAACCTCTCCACAACATATATGGTAAAAATGCTAAGTACAGAACAAAGAAAGCTGCAAGCTGCAAGAGAGAATTGCCAAGTTACTTACAAAGGCAAATCTATCAGAATAACAATGGACCTTTCAGCAGAGACCCTAAAAGCCAGGAGATTATGGACTTATGTATTTCAAGCCCTGAAACAAAATAACTACTAACCAAGATTACTACATACTGGAAAGTTGAGGGAGAAATAAAGGCCTTCCATGATAAGCATAGATTAAAGCAATTCACTACCACTAAGCCAGCATTGTAGAAGACAATTTAAAAAAAAATACTACAAAGATGGGCCAGGTGCTGGTAGCTTACACCTACAATCCTAGCTACTCAGGAGACAGAAATCAGGAGGATCGTGGTTCGAAGCCAACCCCAGGCAAATAGTTTGTGAGACCCTATCTCAAAAATACCCTTTACAAAAAAGGGCTGATGGAGTGGCTAAAGGTGAAGGCCCTGAGTTCAAATCCCAGTACTACACACATAAAAATACTACACAGAGAAGAGAAAGAGTTACATAAGATTAGAGCTCATGAAACAAGAAATTTCACTAGAAGAATTGGCAATGAGAATTAGGAAAGAATCAAAAATTATTAAGTAAATATCCAGCAAACCTCTAAGATGAAGAAGCGAGAAATTAGCATATACCTTTTAATAATCACCCTAAATGTAAATGGCCTTAACTCTCCAGTTAAAAATGTAGAGTAGCTGAGTGGATTAAAAAACAAGATCCAAATGTATTCTGTCTGTAAGAAACTTGCCTCATAGGCAATGACATCCAGAGACTGAAAATGAAAGGATGGATAGTGATATTCCAAGAAAACGGAATCTGAAAGTAAGCAGAAGTAGCTGTTCTTACACTGGACAAAGCAGATGCTGCCCCAGCCAAAATGAAGTGAAAGGGATAAAAAAGGACATTACATGTTAATAAAGGGTATAATCCATTAAGAACATACAATGATTGTATACGTATGCAATGAATACTGGTGCCTCCGATTTCATAAAAGAAGCACTGCAGAACACAAAGAGACAGATAGGTCCAGATACAAAAACAGTGGATGACTTCAATACCCAACTCTCATCAAAGGATACACCATCCTGCTCCTGCTACTCCTCAAGAAATAAACTTCAGAGTTAAACTGCTCTATAGATCAAATGAACTTAAGAAACATCTGCAGAATATCCCACCCAACAGCTGTGGAATACAAATTCTTCTCAGCATTCAATGAAGCTTTCTACAAAATAGATCACATTTTAGGACACAAAGCAAGTCTTATCAAATACAAGTCTTAAAAGCAACTGAAATAATTTGTCATCTTTTCAGACCATGATGGAATAAAATTAAAAAGCAAAAGCAAAAGACATGGAGATTTAACAATATGCTTTTGAATGATAGGAATCAGGGGCAAAATTAAAATGTTCCTAAAATCAAGTGAAAATGAAAACACAACTTACCAGAATCATTGGTACATAGCAGAGGCAGTTCTAAGAAGGAAGTTTATAGCTATGAGTGCCTAGATAAAAATCAGAGAGATCTTAAATAACCTAATGATGCATCTCAAGCTCGCAGAAAACCAAGAACAAGCTAAACCCAAAATTCATAAGTGAAAAGAAATGTAATAATAATCAGGATTAAAATTAATAAAATAATGATGAAAAGAACAACACAAATGCTCAATGAAACAAAGAGTTAGTTCTTTGAAAAGGTAAATAAGATTAAGAAACTCTTAGCCAAATTAACCAAAAGAAACAGAGAAAAGACCTAAATTAACAAAATTAGAGACAGAAAAGGAAATATTACAATAGATACTACTGGAATCCAGAGGAGCATTAGGGTATATTTTGAAAACTTATGCTGCGATAAATTATAAAATCTGGAAAAATGTACACATTTTTAAACACACATGTGACCTACCATAATTGAATCAATAGGATATAAACAACCTAAACAAATCTAAAATGAATAATAAAGACTAAAGCAGTAGTAAAGAGTCTCCCAGTAAGGAAAAAGTCCAGAATCAGAAGGATTCATTGCTGGATCCTATCAGACCTTTAAAGAATAACCGACATCAATGCTCCTCAAACTATTCCATAAAATAGAAAGTGAAGAAACACTTCCAAACTTATTTGATGAAGCCCATATTACCCTTATACTAAAACTAGATAAGGATAAAATAAAAAAATAAAACTATACATCAATTTCTTTGATGAACATAGATGCAAAAATCCTCAATAAGATTCTTATAAACAGAACTGACAACACATTAAAAGAATCATGCACCATGATCAAGTTGGTTTCATTCCAGGGAAACAAGGATGGTTCAATGTACACAAACCAATGAACACAATATAACACATAAATAGAATCAAAAACAAAAACCTCAATAGATGCAGAAAAATCCTTTAACAAAATTCAACATCTCTTCATGATAAAAGCCCTGAAGAAACTAGGAATGGAAGGGACAAACCTCAACAAATTAAAGGCCATATACAACAAACCTAGTGCTAACATTACACCAGATGGGGCAAAACTGAAAGCATTTCCTCTGAAATCAAGACTATGACAGGGTGTTTACTCTCTCTACTCTTATTCAATATAGCTTGAATTCTTAGCCAGAGCATTAACTCAAGAGAGAAATAAAAGGCATACAAATAGGAAAGAAGAGGGGTTGGAGATTTAGCTCAGTGGAAGAGCGCTTGCCTGGCAAGTGTAAGGCCCTGAGTTCGGTCCCCAGCACCGGAAAAAAAAAAGGAAAAAAAAAAACAAATAGGAAAGAAGAAATCAAATTATCCGTATTTGCAGATGATACAATCCTATATTTAAAAGACCCTAAAGACTCCACCAAAAAACTTAGATCTGATGAACACTTTCAGTGAAGGAGCAGGATACAAAATCAACATATAAAAATCAGTAGCTTTTAAAAAAAAAAAAAGCAAGTTAAGAATCATAAAAGGAGTACAGTTGCTGTTGTCCTAGGACTAGGCAGGGATAACAAGACATTTCAGCAGAGGACAGATGAAGGAAGGGATGATTGGAGGGAAGAATTATAAGGGTGAGAGGTTTCTATTTTTGCCAATTTTAGTTATGTTAATTTTTTTACCTAATTAACTAGAAGAATGAAAAGCATCATAAAATTAAACGTAAATGCAAATAAATGAAACTCATGCTATTGAATTCATAACCACACAAAGTAAAAACTTAATTCAAACAGCTGAATATACCCTTTGTGGAAAGTATTCTAAGGACAGAATACAATAACATCCTAGTATTAAAATAGTGAAACTATTTTATGTATAAGATAAGGCAAATGAGTTAGTATATTGATCTTTTTGAGAATCAGAATTTTCTCTGTGGAAAGAGGAAGATTACAAAAAAAAAAAACTGTATCTTTTCTCTATACCATTAAAGAACAGGCTGAGAAAAACAAAATCTGGAAAACAATCCCATTCACAATACCATCAAATAAATAAACCTAACCAAGGAGGCGAAAGACCTCTCCAATGAAAACTGTAAAACACTAAAGATACTGGAAGATGAAAAAACCTCCCATGTCCACGGCTTAGCATAATTGATAACATGAAAATGGTCACGTTAGTGAAAACAGTCTACAGATTCGATGCAATCCCCATCACAATTCCAATGACATCCTTCACAGAACTAAAAAATGCAGCCACAAAATTCTGAATAGCCAAAGCAATTCTGAATAAATAGAGTAATGCTGGAGATACTGCAATACCTGATTCTGAATTATACTGCAGGGCCATAGTAACAAAAACAAAGGAATAGGATACATCAATTCAAAGAAAACATCGATTCTCTTTCTGTAAGAACTTATTCTAACAGATTTAGCCTAAAATATATCCTTGGCAGAATTACATGAACTCACAAATGTCTCATGGGCCAAGACCTGAGTTTCAAGGTCCTTGGGCATTTTCCCATCACATTCAATTCCCATGTAGGGAATTAGGAAGCACCCAAGCTGATTTGGAAGCAGTCATCAGGTGTGAAAAGAGGGGGAGAGGTAGAATCAGGATTCAGTAGAAGCTTCTTCATTATCCCTGCTGTAGGATCTGATCTTATAAGTGGCTCCCTGGCCATTTTCAGGGTTAAAGAATGTTAAAGGTGGAATGATATTTTGCATACAAGGAAACCAAGACCCAAGGAGATAAAATAGCTAGCTCAAGTCATGAAAACAAATCTGGGACTAGGATTCAGGACTTTTGGCTTCCATCCAGCACTCTTTACCCTACCCAATGAGGCTGTGCTGCTGCCTATATTTCATTCCACTGAAATCTGCATCCTCCACCAAACACATCCATCTGTGCATCCATCTATTCAGCTACCCATCCCTGACTTTGTATTTCCCAACTACAGATCATTAAGAACTCTGAGCATCTGCCTGAGACACACCTGTTACCACATCTCCTGGGGTGGCTTTGTTCCAGTCCACAATCACAAATGAGTGGCAGCCTTCCATAGCGACCACAGTGATGTTGCGAGGGGTATGCTGAGGAGGCAGGTCATTCTTTGTCAGGTCACTTGGAATGATTTCATCCAGGCTGTCCACTTGAAAATGGTCCAGAGCATCAGTCAGAGAGCATGGGGCTGATGGGTCTTTACTTAAGTATGTCACATATGGAGCTGGAAAAGAACAGAGGTATCCAATCAGATTGCCGAAGGCTTCTTCTGGAGACAAAATCACACGGTGTGCTTCATGGAATCAGATCTCACCATCAGCCTCTCCCTGCTACACAGAGTTCCACAACCATCAGCCCCAATGCCAACTCAAAAGCCCATCTCTTCCTCTCTTTAATGAATCCATGTGTTTATAGCTTTTAGTCTGGTGGCTGCAAAAGATCCTATTGCCCCATCGACATTCATGTGTCCTCCAAGTGATTTTGAAAAATCCCTACACTATAATTCAGTGTAAATATGAGCCTGCAGCATTCCGCCATTCCTGTGCCCAGACATTTGGAAAAGTGTGAGTCATGCCTACCCAACAGCTAACTAGCACACTCTCATCACAATTCATTCCCTTGACTACCTTGGGACCTGAAAAAAAAAATCCACTGATCAAGATGATGACTCAAGCCTCAACCTGAGGTAGCCATTCCTAGAACCCGTAACCATCTGGGATATCTGCATAAGGCCAGGCCCAAGCAGCTCTCCACAACATTTCTGCTCAGTCTGATAGCAGCTACTCGTGTTTATGGACATGCTGAAGTTCTTCTTACCCATGTTACTTCAGTGGCTACAAGGGGCCTGGAGATAGAGCAGGATGTGAGCTGATACTTCTGTCATGCCTAAACTTCCTGAGGTAGAGAGTATGCCCACAAGTAAGGGCTAAACAGGGCACTCCGCCTCCAGCCCACAGATATTTTTATTTTATCTTGCCCTATAAGAAGTCTGGTAATTCCTAGAGTCCAAGGCATTTTTGCTGCCAAGTGCTCGTTCTTAGGGGCTGTTAGAACTGAATGCAGTTTTTAGCTCCTCCATACCCCTAGTTAGTATAAAGCAAGCCCTTCCCAATGGATCTCATCAGGAAGCTTTATAGATTATAGACTTAAGAAAATAGCCAGCCAACGGTCAGCCTTTCAGTCTTCAGAAGAGCTCTGTAGAAGAATGATAACAGCACTAAAACCATTTCCACTTCTGCTGTGGAATTCATTGTAGGGAGAAAAGTGAGAGCATTTGGTGAACTCAGCCAGGCAACTGCACGCGTGAGCAAGCATTGGCATTGACCTTCAGAATGCTCCCTCAGATGAATATTCTCGCTCTTCAAGTAGGTGTGGTCTAGATACTCAATCACCGCTTCTCGGCTGGCAAGATGTCCCTGCTTATGGCAGGACATTTGTTTGGATACAGAAAAGTGTGATATTAATTTAAGCTGTTGCTTGTCTCTACTTACTAACATATTAATCCAACTGTCTCATTAGTGAAGGTCATTAAGAGCATGGGAAAGAAGAGTTGGGAAGAGAGTGAAACAGAGTGTAGCTACACAGTCTCCTATTTCAATTGCTTTAATTATTGAGAAAAAATGAAATTCTAGATCCCAGATCCTTGAGGCTAGTGAAAGTTTTATAGGAAATAACTGAAGAAAACCAGATTTGGTTCTGTATCTATCTGTTCTGGTGACTCTGCTCAGTAAGCTTGTTAACCCTTTAGGAAGAATTGAAGAAACCATGTATAGTTAAGGCCTAGTGATAAATCTTGTCTTAGAAAAAAATCTGGCCACATTAAAAATAAATGTTTCCTGCTGACAATTTCTAAGTGTTTCTCACTCTTTTGCAGAAAGCAAAGTCATGTGCATGTAAACAAGACTGACTCGTTAAATTACCCCAAAATGGAAACTTCACTCTGGGAAAACTTCTCAAAACGCACAGCCTTAGCTGTGGCTAGGCTAGGCCAAGAGATTAGTTATGCTCTTCTTCAGATGAGCTCAGGCACATTCGGGTGGTATGGCTGTAGTAGTTATGCTCTTCTTCAAAGGGCAAAAATTATAGAGCCACGTTTCTCTGATTAAGGAAGTTATATTTACCAACAAATCGTTTCTTTCCAGCCAGATCAAATTCTTCCTCAGGGAAGGAACTGACAGTGCCTTCCTCTTGGATGACCTTCGGTGTGGCAACAGTGGTTGAAGGCACGATGGTGGCTGGTGGCCTCCGCGTGGTCCCAAATTCATAATCTGAAAAGGCAGGGAAGCTTTGGAGTTGGGCACTTCCAGAAAAGGGGCACTGTTTGCAGTCAACAGATTCTTTCTTTAGATTCAAGTGTAGACTCAAACGCACAACACACACACTAAACGAATCGCTAGGCCTAAACAACTTGTTTCTACTAACCATTTCTCTCCATTTCAGTCCCCTCAGAAAAGCAGCTGCAGATAAAAAGAGAGGAAGAGAAAAAAGAAACACATATGTCCACAAAAATGAGGTTTTAGGATCAGAGCTTGGGAGACCCTTAGGCCTCACCACCCAGGTTAACCTGCTCATGTTACTGACCCAAGGCTGTCTCGACCTGCATAATTTTCCCTTTTAGACCGGTAAAGATCACAACAGAAAATACCCGAGTCCTTTTTTTTTTTTTTTTTTTTTCTCTCTTTTTTCTGGTAAGGAGGATGGGATTAATACTTTAAAGAGAACTAATCTTTTAACATTTAAAAAAGAAAATAAAGGCTGGCTTCCCCTTTCAATTATTCAAAGATAAGAAAGCCCTGAATATTTTCCAAGGTGCTAAGAAGTCTTCCTTAGCTTCCTGACAACTGCGGCTTTTCTAAACCAGTCTTTGTTTGAAATCTGCAGTGGATTAAGCCACTACATCAAACTTGATTATGAATAAATACAGCATCAAAGATAGCATTGTTCACAGAGTTGTGATTTAAGACAATTTGGACTATGGATTTTAGCAGGGCGGGGTGTGCATTCTGAGAACATCCTGAGCTCAGGTGTCAAAGACCCTGCTAGGGGGGGACAAGATTCCCATGTGAACTTGGGAACTGCAGAGGCGACTTACAGAACACACAAGACAGCCCCAGGGTCCGAAGAATAGTGACAGCATCAGTTTTACTGAGAGACTCTTCCAGATGCTGCTAGAGGCATTTTGTATTCTTGAACTTACTATACTTGGAAAGATTCTATGATTCTTCTCATAGAATTAACACACCTAATAATTAGAAAAGGAGAGGAAAGGAAAAAGAGAGAACCAGGGAGGAGGCCTGGGTGCTATTAAGCCAAAAGATTTTGCAAGTAGAGGAGAAGCCTGGACAGTAGCAGCTTCAGAATTTCTTCAGTGGAAAGACCTGGGAGAGACTTGTTTGGAAGCTGCATTTGTGTGTTAAACATGCTGTTTTTCTTTAAATCAAATATGCATTTGGGGGTGACTTGGAACGGGGTGATGGTTATAATCACTGGCCTGAAGAAAACTTCAATCAAGATCACTCACTTTTAATTAAAATAAGCTCCTCGGATGGGGAAAGAAATTGGGCAAGTGTTTTAGAATCTGCTTTTACCTTCATCATACACAACATAGGCCTCTTCCGTGGGTGTAGCTGTGTCCATCTCCAGGCCTGAGAAGTCATCTTGGGAGGGAGAGGACAGAGAGGTGATCAGTACTGTGGTTTTCTCAGTGTGGTGTCAGGTTGGGCCCCAGGGCAGAGCCATTCATTCACCTGAACGGGCTCAGGTAAACAAGCCACTGAGGCCAATGACTCTTCACTTTTCCAGAAGGAAGACCACCAAAACCCCAAAAGGAAACCTAGGCATTCTTTACTTTGGGTTGAGAAAGGGCAATCAAATGCCCTCTGACCAGAAGCAAACACCTCGCTCTAAGTTCCCAGAGTTCTCTCTACTGCCCTCCTACTACCTTCTCCCACTTCTCAATTTACCTTCCCATCTCTCAGGCAAAGACACCAACGCTCCAAGAGGGTTTATAAAGAGTTTGGAGTCACACCTCTGGTGAATGACAGAATTGGAACTTCAAGCAACTTGGTTCCAAAGACTACGTACTTTATATTTCATAAAACTGCCTCTACTTTTTAAAAGTTGAACTAACCAATCCAGTTATTTGTAAACCTTAAGATGCTCTATTTGAGTCATCATTCCACAGTGGATGATTTTGACATTTTTTATTGTGAAGAAATCACTAACCATTATCAAGAAACATTCCAATATAATGATTCTATTAGCCATTTTGGTGCTAAAATAAACTCCAGCAACTTCTTAAGTTGGCTGCCCAGCCCTTCTATGAACTACAATGTGAAGCCACAGCCACCACTCAGTGGTCTTTGAGATGCTCCATTGCTTGTCACGCTCTTGACACGATGACCTGTCTCTACCCTGTGTGTTCTGATGGGGCAATGTTAACAAGAGACAAGTTGTAGATGACCCAGGCCTCTGGGGCAAAATGGTCATTTTTCATGAAAAACTGTTTAACAGGATTTGATTTTTCAGTACGTCATTTCAATGTCAATAAGCCTGAATCCAAGACAAATTACTTCTGGGATGGGTCAAATCAGTTTTCAGGTTCACACTCACTGAAGTTTGGAGTTATTTTGCCATTGATTCCAGGCCTACTATTTTCTTTCTCTTGCCAATTTAACTTTTAGGAACATAATATTACTTTTCCTGATTATCATTTCAGTCTCATTTCCTTTCATTACATTTATTTGGGTCAAAAATGAATAAATTGTGCAATTTTTGCCTCCCAGGGTAAGTAAGAAAAGGGAAAAGTGTATCATTCCCTTCATGGCTTCCTGGTGTTTAGGATAATTCTTTGAGATGATTAAATACTTGGTGTATACAGTAGGTCACAGAAATGATGCTTTTACCTGAAAACTGAGATCACTTCTTGAGATGAGTGACAGTTAAAGCCTCTGGCATATGTGAACACCCTACTGAGTAACTTAAAACTTTTGTTTAAGACCAGATAAACACAGGCAAATTTTTCTAAATCAGCACCATCTTGACTAAGAATAACTTCCAGATGTAATAAAGTATATTTATAATTTTTTGTTAGAAAAGCTGACCACCTGATTCTGCCCCACCTGAAGACATTCAGAACCATTTGGAGCTTTGAAAAACTGGACGTTTTATAAGTCAACCTGGCATCTATGTCAAAAGCTTGAACTGATTCATAAAAGTAGCTATCATGGTAATGTACCATGGTATTCTCTTAAGCAGTTTATTCATGGTAATGAAAAAAATGAGTGCAAAATGTCATCAAAGAATTAGGGCCTGAGCTCTAGAGATACTAAAAAATATGAAAAAAGCTTCATTCTCCGTAGAAATTTAGAGAAGAGGTAGATGACAGCCACCGGAACTGTCACTTCCATATCGTATAGTGGGTCCAGCTCAAGTGAATTTCTATTATTCTCTTTGTATTTTCTGTCAGGAGAGTGAGTCATGAGAGGGAAGAACTGTTTTCCATATGACTGATGCTTTTCTGCAACATGCAACCAGGTCATCGTACAAATTCTTGAATGTTCAGCTGACTTATAACATTTCCAAATATATACAATTTCCTCAGGTGCACTGTAGAAAGAGAACCTGAAAAAAGAACAGAGATCATGGTGTTTTACTTCCCAGTAAGAAAGAGGAGGATGCCTACATCCCACACTGATGATACCCAGATACCATAAGGAATTAGAGCAAAAGTCACTCTCACCTACAAGGAGTTTATTATCTAATGGAGAAGTCAGTCATAGCAAAAAATAAAAAACTCTGTGTGTGTGTGTGTGTGTGTGTGTGTGTGTGTGACAGAGAGAGAGAATAAGTGCAATAATACACAGCAAACAAGCATACAGCACACATCTATGTCTATAGGAAAGTACAGCATCCACAACAAATGAGGAAATGCCACAAGTACTGCATGAATTAGTGGAATGACTGAGTGCCCCAAGGGTATTCCTAGAACATTACTTGAAAGCAGTGTTTCAAAGGGAAGAAGGGGGCACCATTTAACCAATGGAGCCAAAACGCTCAGATTTGAAAAGCTGTTTTTAAAACTGAAGGAGTACAAATGAAATGTTAGGGCCTTGCAAATGGAATGGTCAGCTAAAGGGGGTGAGGTGTGGTCAGCTGAAGGGGGTGAGGTGTGGATGCTTGGGAAGGGCCCCTCACTGATACACATCACTGACCACTAATGCTGGTTCAAGTCATAGTCACAATATACACAATAAACACTTCAGGCTGTTAGGCTGGCAAGTGCCTCGGCCAAGGTGCTGCTTTGCAAATCTTGCTTGTGTAGGCAAGGTGCCCCAGCATTCATGAAACACTTTGTGGGCTGAACTACATGCAGTACAGTGAAAGAATAGGTGTATGAGAGAAACACTAAGGTAAGAGGCAGAGTTAGGGGCAGGGACAGGACACAGGTGGCTCTGTGGGTTACATGTGGAAGGAGTCCTGAGTCGGTCCTTTCTCTGTCAGGGGAGCCTTCCTGGGAGCATCTCTTCTACAAATATCATTGCAGAACTAGCGAATGCACGTTTGCACATTGAGTCTACTACAAGGCACTCAGCCAAGAAACATCAAGTGTATTTTTATGGATGGTGCACAGGCTTTTCTCAAGCAATTTGACTTGGCTATTTGCAAATCTCAAGTCATCTTTGGAACCAAAAACTTGTATGAGGTTCACTTCCTCTGCTTCTTTCTGTTATTAATCCTCGAGTGTCACATTCCAATGACAATAAAGCAGGGACTACACTGTGCATTCCAGAAGCAAGCACAGTGTTTTAATTCCCAGTAATTTCATAGTAATATTGAATAAAGGTGTCTGGTTCACAGTAACATTGAATAAAGGTGTGTTGAGGTGAACATCCAGGTAGGAGGCAAGGGCAGCCTGCTATAAGAAACCCAGTATGGAATAACATGAGTGTTAGGTTGCTGGGGCCAGCTTTGAGATGGAGAGAAAAAAGCAACTCCAAGAGGAACAAAAAAGAAAAAGAACAATGCTAACAGTAAGAGGCAGGAAGACACATTGCGAGTGATAAATATGCCTGTGGCCCTGACAGCTGGTGATGGTTTCACAATGACCCTAAACTCATTGAGTTGTACACGTTAAACATGTATAGCTTGTTATAAGTTAATCATACCCCAATAAAATGGCTTAAAAATTAAAAGATAAAAATAAGTATGATTAGAATAAATTTAAGAAAGAAGTGAAATGATTACTATAGTTGCTAGTAAAACAAATTTTTAAAAAGAAGATAAGCCACATAGAAAGTATTTGTAAAATAATAGCATACACTCACTAAAATATTATATGAGCATATGTTGCTATTACCAACTTTAATTTTCCCCAGAGTTTTGTTTATGCTTGTCTTTAAAATTCTCCCTGGAAGTAAATGATTCTTTGACTTGAACTGGGGAATTAGAAGAATGCATGTAAGTAAAGTAAAATGTATACGTACATATCATGATTTGCAAGAAGAGAAACAAATGCCAAGAAAGGCTACTGACTTTCATGCCAAATTAAAGTTAAAAAAAAGCAAATGAAAATAACATGCCTTTTACTAAGAGATAGCATAGATAAATGAGACCTCATAAAACTAAAAAGCTTCTGTTCATCAAAAGAAATGGTCTCTAAACTGAAGAGAACACCCACAGAGTAGGAGAAAATATTTGCCAGCTACACATCAGACAAAGGACTGATAACCAGAATATATAGGGAAGTTAAAAAACTAAATTCTCCTAAAACTAATGAACCAATAAAGAAATGGGCAAGTGAACTAAACAGAACTTTCTCAAAAGAAGAAATTCAAATGGCCAAAAAACACATGAAAAAATGCTCACCATCTCTAGCAATAAAGGAAATGCAAATTAAAACCACACTAAGATTCCACCTCACCTGTTAGAATAGCCATCATCAGCAACACCACCAACAACAGGTGTTGGCGAGGATTGCGGGGGAAAAAGGAACCCTCTTACACTGTTGGTGGGAATGTAGACTAGTACAACCACTCTGGAAAAAAATTTGGAGGCTACTTAAAAGCTAAACATTGATCTACCATTTGATCCAGCAATACCACTCTTGGGGATATACCCAAAAGACTGTGACACAGGTTACCCAGAGGCACCTGCACACCATGTTTATTGCAGCACTATTCACAATAGCCAAGTTATGGAAAACGCCAAGATGCCCCACCACTGATGAATGGATTAAGAAATGTAGGTATCTATACACAATGGAATTTTATGCAGCCATGAAGAAGAACGAAATGTTATCATTCGCTGGTAAATGGATGGAATTGGAGAACATCATTCTGAGTGAGGTTAGCCTGGCCCAAAAGACCAAAAATCGTATGTTCTCCCTCATATGTGGACATTAGATCAAGGGCAAACACAACAAGGGATTGGACTTTGAGCACATGATAAAAGCGAGAGCACAAAGGGAGGGGTGAGGATAGGTAAGACACCTAAAAAAATTAGCTAGCATTTGTTGCCCTTAGCGCAGAGAAACTAAAGCAGATACCTTAAAAGCAACTGAGGCCAATAGGAAAAGGGGACCAGGAACTAGAGAAAAGGTGATCAAAAAAATTAACCTAGAAGGTAACACACACACACAGGAAATCAATGTGAGTCAATGCCCTGTATAGCTATCCTTATCTCAACCAGCAAAAAACCCTTGTTCCTTCCTATTATTGCTTATATTCTCTCTACAACAAAATTAGAGATAAGGGCAGAATAGTTTCTGCTGGGTATTGAGGGGGTGGGGGGGAGAGGGAGGGCTCAGAATGGGTGGTAAGGGAGGGGGTGGGGGCAGGGGGGAGAAATGACCCAAGCGTTGTATGCACATATGAATAATAAAACAATAAAAAGAGTTAACATATAAGGTGGTAAGGGAGGGGTGGGCAGGGGGGAGAAATGACCAAGCGTTGTAGCACATATGAATAATAAAACAATAAAAAGAGTTAACATATAAG